AATTAATTTACTTCCTTCCTCTCTCTCTCTCTCTCTCTCTCTCTCTCTCTCTCTCTCTTTGTAAATGCAAATCTATTGCAGAAAGAATTACGAAGACCTATTAAATCATCGAAAAGAACGAACTGTGCGATGAAAAGCGTAATATATCTCCTGCGGAAAATGGTTTTCTCGAGCGTACGCAGATATGTTGAAAAAGATGGTCTGCCAGAAGATCCGGAATTTTCTTGATGGCATCGATAAATCAGCTCTCGTGCGATTCGCCGCTTGACGACACAATGAGAGCCGAGAAAACTGTTCCGCGCCATGACAGGGTATGTCATTACTGCATTACTTATAAAGCTCCTTCGCGGCTACGCACGCCGCATACGAATGAAATCGCATCGCGATCGCGCGGCAGCTATTACAAAACCTATGGAAAAAGCGACCTACCCGGCACGTCACGTATGCAAGGATACGACCACGAGAGTCCGGCTGTTGCAGCTCTTAATCGAGCATTAACATGCACGTTGAATATTGATCGATCGATCCGTGGAAAATACGTATTTCTTTCGCACTTGGAATCCGCCTGCATTTTCGTCATCAAGAACATTGCGGATGTTGTCGAAGAAGACAGATCATATCGAAGTCACATGTTTTAATCGAAGCTACTGTATATTCATAAACCATTCTCTAGCGACAAACAAGTCAATGATGCAGCTATTGAAAAAATTTAAAGCAAAAATCCGTCCAAGTCAATAATAATTTTCTTGTATATCCTGATGTAAGAAATTCAAAGAATTTCAAAGTTTTATCCTAAATAAAAAAAACATGTCTTTATCATATTGCATTATTAGAAATATATTTTGCATAAGAATTGCAGACAGGACTATTGAAGAACTCTCGTGCTCTCTTGAGTGACACCTTGGGATATATCGAGAAATCCCAACGAAGTGGCGATGTCGTCGTCGCCCCGGCCGACACCTATCCCATAAATAATCTCGACATCGAAATTCGTTTGACGGATCCATCGATCGGCAATGAGTTTTTCCCCCACCTGTTTCTCTGTTCTTCCTATCCGCGTCTCCAGCACGCCGATGATGGCGGTGTGTCGATGTTGGTACATGGCGAGTGTAGCTGTCGTCGCGGTAGCATCCCGTCGGACAGGTTATAGACGCCCTTCGATGCCCGGCAAACACGTCGTTTCTTCACAAGCGAGAGAAAGCCGAGCCGCCGATCCCATCCGTAATGCTCACATGTCCGCGAACTCGACTAGCGGGCACCCGAGGGGTTGAAACCCCGCCAAGAGGAGGAAGCGAATCGGCGACCCGGCGAGGTCGAAGACGGGTTAAACGGGCCATCATACCATTGTTTCCGCCGCCAAACACGTATAACATCCGGACCAAACCCCTTCGACCACCCGCTCTCCTCAGCTCGAGGAGAAACAAAACGTCTCAAGAAACAAAACGATTCGGAAAAATATGAGTTCTCGTGTATTGGCGAGCAATAACCATTTGATAGATACACACAGTGTCGTAGAACTCGCATTACCGAGGAGCTGATAATTCAGTTTACATTAAATCAAGATATCAATAATTTTTGAACTAAATATTTAATAACGAAGCATCGAGATAGATTGAAATTTTCACAGAAACATACAACAAAGATTCATTTGGAAAAAGGATTTATGATTAAAAAGATGTTTGTTTAATATAAAACCTAATATACAATTAAAGAAGACAAAAAAGAATTCTGGTGTGTATATATAAAAATTCTGAGTATATATAAAAATAATCTCAAAAGAGATATCAAAAATATCACACATGTTGGAAATTTACGATGAAAGAAACTCGCTATATGGACGTATTTCTGAATTGATAACTTTTTTGACGATATCGCGGTAAATTTTGGGATGTATTCAATATAAATTGTTTCTACAGCGTAATAATATGTATAAAGAAAAATACAGATCGAAGAAATTATCTAAAATTAAACATGATTGAAATTATTGATATTAAACACACATTTTTAGCTAGTTGATATATCCATAATCCAAGCTGTAATTATTTTATATTTTTTTCTTTCTCTTTTGAAAACTATTTAATTATTAATAATAATAATTATGAGAAAAAGAGTTATACTATTTAAAGTTATGATAGTAATTTTTTGTATATAGGAAAAAATATATTGTGGAAAATTTTCTTTGAGAAAAGATAAAAATTTAAAGTAGATTTTAAAAAATGTTTAGATAAGAAATATGCGTGTGATACTTAGATTATTAAAGATTAATTTTATTATTTAATACAAATGTAATCTAATCATTGTGAAGAGATATTCTTGATAAGCGTATTCAACATTTTATGATATTTTGCAATCAATTGAATTAAATTTATCATTATGGATAAGATAATTGTCAAAAAATATTAAGATTGCACTATTAAGATTGTGACATTCGTCATTGTCATGACAAGCATATGATGTAAAACGAATGTGTCAGAAAGTAATATTTAAAATCTTACAATATTTTTATAGAATGCCCATCTTTTCGTCTCAGGTTTTTTTATATTTTGACATATTCGAATCTATTTTGTAAACTAGTTTTTCTTTTACGCCTATGCGTCAATTATAAAAGTAGGACTCTTTTTACATCCTATCATAAACGAAAGGGACTGCATAACTATAATTTTATGATGCGTTCATTAATTTAAATTCAGACATCAGCATCAAATGATGTATATGCACAAAAAATGGAGCAAATACTCTCTTTAATCATTCTGGCATGTATCATCTTACATATTTATAGCGGCTTTAACGAGCGCCATTACTAAATGCAAGGAATCCGCGATCGACAACATGAAACCGATATCTGTTCTCGCCATGAAGATGAAAAAAGTATCACAATGCGTCATCTATGACATCTACGTCGGAATATTTCCTTGTGGAATGTTTTACTTGATAGAAATTTATCATCCAGAAACTCGTTAAGGAATATTTTAAAAAGGAATTTTATAAAGAGAAAGCTTGTTTGATAATTAATATTAAAATAGAAAGAATATTTATATTTTTTGAAATCTAGTTTTTCTTATGTAGTTATTTAGAATTACTTCATATTCAATTCAGTAATTATTAATGTACAAATTGCGCCATAAGAGATATCAGATTTCTAGAAGTAAAAATTGCAGACTTTCCGCTTTTCCGTGCTTTCGCGTGAGTAATTTTTATTCCCCGCGGTAATGCAAATCTCAAACTTACTCCTCTCGCATTTGTTCCTCTTCCACACTTTCTATTACTTTCTATCGTGTTGAGGATCTTTCGCGCGCACCGTCGGGCAGATATACCGGCGTTAAATAATTTCTGCGCGAGGACGGAAAGTACTTTAAGCCGGCGCTATCTACGGACTGCGCCAACAAAAGGACGAGAAGGAATCGTTCGACAAGAAACCGATGAAGGGTTTATCTTAATCCACGGTTCACCGAGCAGACGAGCTCCTCGCCAATACCCCTGGGCCACCCCTTTCATCGTTTATGCCCACCCTCTCGCGCGTAACCGATCACACTTCGCTTGTTTTACTAGATATTTTTTGTTATCTGGACCACTTATAATCGTGGCCGTGTTTGCAACGATGTGGATACCAATCGCCGCCCTATCAGAAGCTTCTGTAATCTCAATGTTTTTATTTGAATCGATCGTTTCTTTCTTCCGCCTATTTTCTAAAGAGTTATAATACATTTCGATTGTATTCAAGGTATATTTATCACTACCGTACTTCAATACTTCTCGAAAACTTCAATATGTTATTCTTAAAAATTTAAGACGTCAAGAAACATTTTAAATAATTAAAACGACATTGCGGGCGCAATAACTATGCTCCCGAGATCCCGTGGAAAAAAGAAATCTGCTTAAACGTTTTGTGTCAAAGCACTTCCGGAGCACCACCTTCGATTCTGCATTCTGAGTAAAAACATTTAACGAAGTTATTGGCGGCCGTCTTCGACCGGCCGCAGGATACAAAAACGCGAAACGCGTCGGTAAGCGACGAAGAAACGAACGATGGCGGCTCGAAGTAGAACGAACCGGCCAGTTGGCCGATAGTCTCGTGCAATCGTTTTCCCAGAACGTTACCATTTCACACTCGCGGGTGGCAGAGGCGTTGCGATAAAAGTCCAGGAGAGAGGGAAAGTCTGACGAATCGATTCGAAAGGATGTCATCATAGTCGAGATTGTGGATGGGCGCGAACACCTGTAACACCGTGTTCATGGCGTCACGTGCCCGGGTGTTGCCGTGACGAAAGTCCCGATGATCGTGCAAAAACCGGCACGGGATAAAAAGCCGATCGGGCTCGCGCTGTTCGGAAGCCTGGGGGGTTCCCCGCCAGTGAGCGCGCTATGAGAAACATTAAAGCGAGAATTTGTCGTTAGGTCGTGAGATTTGCGGTTAGATGGATGCGCAATCCGATTCTGTTCTTGCTTCGGTGATTCTTAGTCAATCATCTATCGCTTTTCTCATCGTCGTAGCGTAAATCGATTATAATTCGCTCGCTATTTTATCCACGTGAAGCAATATCGTTACGCCAGAGGATAGAATTACCAGTATTTACAATTACCAGTAATTACAATATTTAACTCCTAGCTCACGCTACGATCGACGAGTTTCTGTCAATCGAGAATCGAGAAGTGTCCCATCGGCCTGGCCGTGCGATCAGAGAATGTTCAACGGTGTACACGTTAAGTACGCCCGGGATCGGACAACCGTGCGCGCACTTGGTTCTCTCGATCAGATACATAGTCAGCATGACTCCGCGATCCGCGCCCTCGACCACCGACGGTGTCCCGCTGACTATTTATCTTGTTACATCGAAGTGATCCGATTCTAACAGGAGATCAATGACGGCCGCCGACCACCGCGACTACCCGGCTTCTTGTTGCGTGCGTCTCCTCGCGGAAATGTAACGACGATACGAGCAGCTTCGGCATATGAATTGAAAAGCAGTCGTCGTCTCGTATTTCCTGCAACGAAATAGAATGCGTTATTTAATTATGCAATCTAAATGCTAAATGATTTAAGTATTAAACAAACAGAAATTAATTACCATGCAATATGACTTGGACTTTCTCATTATGTATTCTGTATTCTGTATTCTGATTTCGTGCACACTATCATACTGCAATAAGAAGAAATTAGATTTAATTGATCGCAAAATTATGTAAAATGCATCTTATTCTTTTGATCCAAAAAAACCAATTGAGTGTAACACAATTGATGAAATAATGCTGATGGTAATGAATCAATAATGCAGGAATAAACCTTCCACAATGGCTGTATAACGTGCTTGTAGATACTTAAGCGAGGCGACAGAGGCACGTCCGGGGCCATGTGTTACCTAATAATTGCGTTCGGTAGTCACCCAACAAATATTTATTGCTACTTACCGGTCGGTGAATGTAAACGGATCGAACCGCTCTAATGGAGAACACCTAATTTCGCCCACGCGGTCGCGATCGAGTTGCCGCTCGTGTCTGAGAAAATTAATTCGGTCCGTAGGTCCGTTTTCTGATAATAATGTCGTCGGTGATATTATCGGAAGAGTGAGTCATCACTGACCATTCTGAAATATATACGGAAAATATATAACAATTATGCAATTAATTTTTGTTATATTAATCAATTTTTTAAAAAGTTTCTTGAAATAATAATTTTAATAATTTTAATAATAATTTTAATGCGATAAATTTCTGTTTATATTAAGTTTTATCTATGTTTTATCATTATTATTAGCTACACGATCTATTTACGATGCCGTAAGCACGACATGTCGACTTCGGTTATCGACAAACTACGAGACAATTTCCTTTGGACGCTAATCAACCAAGCGTCAGGGAAAAGTACACGACAGGATAATATGGATAAACGACGGCGAAAATGCTAGGACGGATAATACCAAGAACCGGAACGCATGTCAGCTCGTCATCATCGCCGAAACATCAGTAGGTGTTTGGCCAGGTCGCTAATGTAATATTGTTTGCAGGAGTATCGGATGTAGACAGCAAGTAACTTGGGAAAAATCGTTAAGAAAGTCTCTAAAGCTTACAGACATGGCATTTCTGGTCGTCTTTAAAAGATAAAAATATTATATATAAGACTTATTCATAGAATATACACAAGAAACAAACAGTTTTGCTGGGTATAAATCTGAAAAATAATTTTAATGTGCCGTCAAAATAATTATGTGAAACGTTAAAATTAGTTATTAGAATATAAAAAAATTTTGCAGTATTTTCATTATATTTAAAGAACCTACATAATAATTTTGATCTAATAAAATTAATTTTTAAATCTGGCCAAATTTTTAAATTCTACAACAGAATTGTTCTTTCCGAATATTTCCGTTATATTTTTTGGATATAAAAATTATATCCTTTTTATAGACATATCATATTTATTTAAAATATTTATTTTTTTTATTAAAAACTCGAACGACTGCATAAAATGTCCATAGTGATAGATATAATTATATTTTACTAATAATCGTGCGTGACACTTTGCATCCACACTATTAATCGTCATAAAATGCAACTTTGCAGAGTCGTCGAATTGCGTTTTCCGCGGACGTTGCCGTATCCCCGTTGTGCTCATCGTTCCATCTAATTTATACACGGATACAATATGTTCCGATTAATCATTGGCCAGTTACACCGGCGCGAATTAACTTATCGTTTACGCTTGGCACAACTTCGCTCGCGTTGCACCGACCGATACAGCAATCGACTCGCCTTACACTCCGTGTGCTGGAAGCATTGCGAATCACGCGTAATACGTGGAAATCATAAATATAATCGACCAAGTGGGAGCATGCACCAAGCATAAATTGCTCCTTCATTAACAAGATTTCGAACGCGTGTAGTGTTCCCTCGAGCATGCGTTTCTCCGATTCCAGGCAAAAGAAGCAACGGCTCGTTAGTCGTTGCCGAGCATGTGCTTGTGTCAAACCTGTTTCTATTTGTTCGCTAATCATAAGGTTCATTAAACAAGTAATTTCTTTCTGATATTTATGGTTACACATGCGCATTACACGATTACACTTGAGCCAAAGTGTCAAACGTACAATTGTATTACAAGAATATTAATTCGTCGCCGACTGCATTTGTTATGGATGGGAAAGTATCATTAAATAATAATTTATATTTTTAAAAATAAATTTAAACTCGGATATGTTCGAGATAAATAATATTTTATTTTGTAATTTATAATGGAAAAATATTTCTTTACTAAATGTTATATGTATTTAAAGAGAGACAATTATGAATATTTTAGAATTTAACACTTTCTTATCTATTGAAGTGATAACATATAATTATTTAGAGATATGGAAGTTTATTATTCTAAAAAAAATTGTATTTTTTTCTCGATATTAAGATATCTGTTAATTTTAATTATAATTTTGACGTGAATAATATATATTTTGCTCCTGACTGTCAGTTATGTTGCGATACAAAACAATATATATTTCCGTTTAAGATATCCAGATGATCTTGATAGGTATTCGAAAACATGATTTGAATACTTCTAGTAACGCTCGGTTGCGTTTGTTGCTGTGTGTTCATACCTCTGTAAAATTGTAATTATGCAAATGTTGTAGGATATAATCGGCACAATCAAAGCGTTGCGCTTCGCAACGGAAGCAAATTTAAGATTTGAAGACAAGCTCTATTCAATCCATATAAATTTACATATAAAAACAATACTTACTAGAGAACTTTCGCGATTTTAAATTCTCCATCGATCGCATTAAACTCGTGAACTGCAGCAGCATTGATCAACATTGGTTGCGGATTCTTGTCACGGCGCGATCGCGAGGTCATTTCTTCTGTTCACCGGTCAGTTAATGGCTCCGTTTCTTTCCTATGCCGATCCGTCATTGACTTCCGGACGTGTCCGCGGCCAACCGTTTCGCGACGCCGTAACTCGTGCCAATCGACGGCAGATTTGCGTGACCGTGACGCAAATCGGGCAAAATGCACCACGGTGCCTCCCATTTTGCCCGATTTTTGCAGCACGGTATTTTAATGTCTCCTCGCAGCGCACAGTGATTCAGCCATCGTTTCGCTCTCTGTAATTTATCGTCTCGCCGACCAGTCGCGTCCTTCCACATCATTTTCATAGTTTGCACGTGCTGCGGATAGAACCAAATGTTGCGTTAATCCATCAGGCAACCTATAATTATATGACAATAGTAAAAAATAATTTAATGTTCAATAATTTTTTAAGTATTGATATATCTTTGATAAATACAATATAATTTTATGTTCATGTTGATTTATTATATTTAAATAAATACTTATATAATATATTTAAAAGACATTTTGCTATCTCTCGAAAATTTATTAATTTACAATAGGATTACATTGCAAGAAAAATAATAAAAATAATAAGAATTAAATTATGCTTGTTAAATATGATTATAGCATAAATGTTGCGAAATAAAAAAAAACACAATCAATTATTTAGGAATAAGCGTGATGGAAGAATTATTGAGAGCATTAAACTATATATGCTTGTTAAATATAATTACAGCATAAAAAACACCGTTGCGAAATAAAAAAAATATAATTATTTAGGAAAAAGTGCGATTAAATGTAAAAACTAAAATTGTTTCTCAATCAAAATCATTAATTCTAAAGAATTCCATTATTTTGCATTTATAATCGTATTTAGTACGTAATCGGGGAATACCCACATAACTGAATCAATGTAATGTACGACATTGTTACTTTCAATGCATCTCTGTCAATTCGTGCATTTATTTCTACAATAATAAATATTAAGTATATAAAGCGGGAATAATAATGAAACAATTTTATTTTGTTTTAAATCATTATTCTGTTTTAATTGAAATCATTAAAGACATCAAAATATTATATTAATAATATAATATATAATTTAATTAAATTATAATTTTTTTTATTAATAATGAAATAAACAACATTTTCATGTTTAAAATAAAAATATTAAAAATTTCTTAAAATTGTATATTAATAGTTTGTAGGATTATTAATTAATACAATTTAGTTTAGAAATTACTATATAAGTAAATATAGAGATTAATAAGACGTTTTAGTACATGACTATATCGCATGCTTATTCTTTCAATTACTTCTCACAGGCACTCCTGACCGGACACACTTAATATGCGTCTTTCATTTAATTTGTCTAGCAATTATTCAAATGCGTGAATAATTACGCAGCACTCGCTCAGTTTACCATGATAAATGGTATATCCGCGATAATTATCTTAGTTTGATTAACATTTGATTAACCGCTGATTATTCAATTATGGGAAAACATTTTGTTACGCTCAATTGAACCATGCAGGTATAATAAAACATGCGTTTAGTAACGGCTTCTTAATATAATGATACAAAGAAACTAAAACATGTATCAATACATAGTTAAATAGAAAGTATACGTGAGTTTTATTGACATCAGCGTGTAATTAAATATAATATTTCAATTAAATTATAAAATTAAAAGACTAAGACTGTTTTAGATTTGACTGTATACTTAACGAATCTCTTTTAACGACGGTGAGATAGCTTTTGAATTATTTACGTTATGATGTCCAACGAAGAAGTATAGTTACCCTCGAATAATTTCGATATCATAAATAACAATTCCGCGGATATCCGGATGGACCTCCTCCATCCATCCTCCATAAGAAACCACAGAGACCCGGCAGGAAAGATGATTGGCGACCGGGAGGGAGAAACGAGTTTATCCGGGTGGAGCCCTCCGCGCCTCAACCCCCCGCTGTCGAACGCGCGATGGGAATAAAATGTGAAACTGTAAATTGTGCGTGGAAAGAATCGGTCCCTGGGCGGTCGTGGTGGTCGACCATGCTTTTCGTGGAGTGGCCGTGGGGTGGAATGGCGGACGCGGGGGTGGAAGGACTGGATAGGTGGCGGGAAGTAGCACGAGAAAAGATCGGTTCTCGCTCGAACAGGGCGAGGATCTTCAAGGATTTAAATGCGCGTTCGGGCGAACGAGACTGAGGGTGTATCTCTCGTAGGGGGTCAAACAAAATTTGTTAGGTTGCGTCAGACTATCACTCCCTAGTGAATATGAAAAAAGAATTCCTTACAAAGCTTTCAAAGATCGAAGACGGTGTGTCGGTGTTCCTGCCGACACCCCTTGCCCCCGGAGCGACCGGGTTGTGAGGGTTGAGGTGATGGTTGTACGAGGAGAAGCTGGTGGCCAGCGGGTAGGAGGGATGTAACACGGTGCCAGGAATATAAAGCGGGGGATAAAGGAGATGGCGGTCACATATGCGACTCGTAAAAGCTCTTCTGAAAAGCTGCATCCGTTTCTACCACCATCCTGCTCTCTTTCTCCTCTTTTTTCACGACGATTTCGTCGGAAGAGGAACCTGGCCTCCTCCATTCCAACGCGAACGTGGCTTTTACGATTTCAACATCACAGTTGATCACAAAAATTTAACTCTCGAATATGATTTAATATGGAGTGATGTGAGAAATATTCGCATATATATATTAATTTAACAGATTGCCTAAGTTTTTATTATAAAATTTATTTTATTGTCATGTTTTACAATTATTTATAATGTATATAAAAATAAATGCATAAATAAAATAAATCAATGTCATTCCATAATATGAAAAAAAGAGCATAATGTTTTATATTTTAAATTTTTATGTAAAGATAGTATTAATTGTTACAGTTCCATGATATGAATAAAAAAAACAGATTAATGCTTTATTTAACATCTCGCATGATGAGTGCGATCGTTGCATAACTACAGGTCTCTGAGAGCATGGCGACATTGCGTTTCTATGGGAACGTGGCTTACCCCGGTTATCTCCCGATACCAGCGAATATTAAGAAATGCCGTTCTCGAGCGGTATTTCCGTACATTTGCGGCCGGAAAATGAGCCATTCGTTTGCCGATTGGAATGAGGTACTGTCTATGCATGGCACGGACGCACCACCATCTAACCGTCCCATAAATAATCGTCCTCCTCTTTTAGCCTAAACCTCTTTGCTCTCTTTTTGTTCTCAACCCTCCTTTTTCCTTTCATCGCCTTCTCGCTTATTTTCCCTTCCTGTTTCACTCAGTGCGTGTATATTCGAGGATATCGTACGAGCTTCTTAGGATAAGGAAGACACATAAGCAGAATAGGACAATGACAAAAAATTGGCAATGGAAATAACTTATGAAATAACTTATGAAAATGTGTAATTATTATGAGAAATATAATAAGAAAATACAAATTGCAAATAAAGCTAAAAATTTTTTTTTCAATTGTTGAATTCTTTGCAAACATAATTTTACTATGTATATATATATATATATATATATATATATATATATATATAACTTTTATTTTTGATAGAATAATTTAATGATAAAATCAAGTTAATGCTTTTATCATTTAATCAAAAAAGAAAATCAAAGTTATTAAAAAATTAGCAAATGATCATTAAGCAAAATATTTCTTTTTGAATGAGATTTTACACGATTGTTATAATAAAAGAAAATATCTGTTTTGTAACATTCGCTTCAAACAAACATCTCTTCCTTTCTCGTGCGCCATTCTTTTAATCTTCCAGACATAAATGGTGAGTTACAAAAAACATCTCGTTTTGAATGCGACTGCTTTTTGCGGTAGTACTGACCAACGCTTCCAGACAATTCTTGGCGGGTTTGTCGATCGTTTAATCGTCTATTTCCACCTGTCAGCCCGAGTCGATGGAAGCACAAAGGCGATCTCTATCCTGAGGAGAAACTCTCGCAAGAAAGCGAGGCAACATTCGGCTAGGAGGGTTGCGAGAATGGCCAGTGAGGGAAGAGGATGTGCAGGCAGGGCAAGAAGAAGTCTGACATTCGAGGAGTCGACAAAGATTATGAAGCGCATACTGCGGCGAATAAAAATGGTTTCCGCGGCGGGGGAGAAGCGGAAAACAGAGACATTGTTCGTCGCAGGGAGTTCCTGGAGAAAGGCTCTTTATGGAAGAACAAGAGAAAGAGAAAATAGTTGGACTAACGATAAATGTTCTGCGCACAGCCTACACTTTTAAGAACATAATGTTGAGTCTTAATTTATTTTCATTTTTTACGCAATAAATAAAAGATCTTATGACTAATTTTGTATTAAAAAGATGAATATTAAAAGAACATGAACAAGAAAGATATTTATGAAAAAAAATTAAAGATAATTATGAAAAAAAAATAATAATAAAATAATTTGTTTTTATAAAAATATATTGAAAATTAAATAAAGATTACTTTCATTTTGTAATCGGGACTCTTCTGGTGAATGGAGGTCATATGACTGTTAAGTTATTATTTACCGCATATCTGACATCGACGCGTTATGCATTGAGAATTGCAAAATCAATTATAATTTTAATCCGACCTACGAACAGGGCGAATGGATCGGAGTACACGAGAAAAAACTGCGAAATGCAAATGACAAGCAAGATTCACGCAGATTGTGGAAAGCTGATAATAGATCCTGCTTCTGAGTGAGATTCGTCAAGTGGAAAGCTTAAAATAATTAATCGTACTTAACGGTAATGACTCAACGAGATTTAAGCCAATAAAATGCGTTCCGCTTCCGACACACCAGTGCGTCGGATTACAGCAAAAATAAATAATATTTTTTATGATGCAGGAAATTGCCATCCCACTGTAATGAGTACGCTTCAAAGATAATTGTTAATCAAGGAACCAAATTACCAGCGAGAATATCTACGCAATCTTATGCGTCCATGTATGATGCTGTAATTGTAGAATATTCCAGTGTGCATATTATTTTACAACATAGAATTCGGTGGTCATAAGTGTTTACACTCCGAAAGGAAATCAGAAATCTATTTAGATTGCATTTTGATTACTGCAA